AAATGATAACATTATACATGTATTTAAACAAGCTCTTCTGGTGCTAAAATATTAAGAACTAATGAAATTTCCATAACAGATCTGGCACTTCTTTGAGACCTCTTTCAATATGGAGTAAATTTGCAATAGAGAATTGGCAGGAGTATGGACTAGATGACCTAAGGGGAGATACCGTATTTTAATTTTCTGATCAAAAGAAAAAGGAAAGTGGTACAAGACAATGAAGTCATTAAGCAGAAAGTGAAAGTGGTAAGTTTCAAAAACATTGGGGAAAATCCTTGAAAACCAAAAATGATGAAAGAAAACTTCTCCTAACGAATAATTAAGTTTATAGCTATGGAAGAAAAAGTCAGGCATCTACAAAAGACCTTCAAAACATTCCAGTGTGTCTGTCTGGATTTATACTCAGTTGAGAAGTGTAAGACATCATCATTATCATGACCACTTTTTGTTTGCTGCAAATTAGCCTTGTGCTGCTGTCCACCACCAAAATCTCAACTCTGGATTGTAATACTCTTCCCCTCCTGCACAGCAAAGCGATCCAGGGGAATTTACACCTTCTGAACAAAATGGGTCAACAATTTCCTGAGCAGTGTCAAAGTGAGAAAATGCACTTCAAGTTCCCTGAGCAGTTACTAAAGCTGAGACAGAAAGAGAATGCCAAGGTGGAAATCCAGGAGATCCTGCAACAGACCTTCTATGTCTTTACCAAAAATCTAACCTTAGCTGCCTGGGATGGAAGAGCTCTTGAAAGATTCCAAAATGGACTTAATCAGCAAATTGAGTATCTGGAAGCATGTTTGACAGAGAAGATGGAGAAGAAACAACCCTACTCAAGGAGTGAGGAAATCATTAGACTGAAACTGAAAAAGTACTTTCAAAAGATAGATAATTTTCTAAAAGACAAACAATACAGCCTGTGTTCCTGGGAGATCATCCGCCTGGAAATGAGGAGATGTCTTCAGTTTACTGACAAAATTATAAGAAGGCTTAGAAACTAAGGTATACACATTTTGATCTGAGAATCAGAAAAAAAAAAAAAGAATTCATTTATCTACCTTCATTGTGAAAATGCTTCTAGTTAAATTTCACTGGATTTCTATTACTATTTATATTGGCCAATTATGTATTGTTGCATTTAAATTATTGCAAAGAAATATTTTATTCATAAACAATAAAACTTTATTAAACAAATAATTGCACACTGACCATAAAATAACCCACATAATTTTCAGAAACTATGACTGCTTAGGGAAGTGGTAATTTTGTGGCAATTAACATTATTGCTGTAGTGTTCCCTTCTGAGAAAAGTGTGCTATTTATTTTCGTTCCCATTTCACCTGCCTACACAAGATCTCTTAATTCTGAAGCAACCACCAAGCCATGACCAGGAATCATGTAAATCAATTATTTGGATTAAAAATAAAATAATTGTATTTTTCTGCTATATTTGTTTAAATTATATTTTTGTTTAAAATAATTCATCACTCTTTCAAGATATGCTATTTCCAGTAATGTATCTGATATTAGAGGGGTAGCCATGTTAGTCTGGATCCGTAAAAGCAGCAAAGAGTCCTGTGGCACCTCAGAGACTAACAGACATATTGGAGCAGAAGCTTTCGTGGGTGAATACCCACTTCGTCGGATTTATTCACCCACGAAAGCTTATGCTCCAATACATCTGTTAGTTTATAAGGTGCCACAGGACTCTTTGCCGCTGTATCTGATATTGTGTCTGATTAATTTCAATGTTTGCTTTGTTCAAGGGTTCAAGTTATCCTCTAAGTGTTTGTCTACAGAGGGAAATTGACCAGAGCAGCATATGAGTGTCGATACGGGGAGCTATTCCAGCACACCTATCATGTTTTAAATTCATACCCTGCCTTATTTTCCCTGTGTAGACACACCTTAGGGCGATGTTAGCCAACTACACCTCTTAGTGCTCTGTGTGTGTCTTCAAGCTGGCTGCTGAAATCTCACACACCGCTACTCACACTGTTTAATTACTACTTAAAATTTTCTGTCCCTTACCCTTTGTTTGGAAGTGCAACCACTGGCAAGAGTTAGCCTTTGGTATTCCAACCACTGTTCCCTCTAAGCTGTGCGTGTGTGCGTGCGCACACAGATCCTAAACCCCGTGCACATGTGAAACACCGCACGCACAAAAATTTGCACAGATGAATTTTTTTGCACACACGGCCTGTCAAAAATTTGCACAGAAGAAATTTTTTGTGCACCTGGCCTGTCAAAAATTAGAGGGAACATTGATTCCAACATATTTTACACAAAAGCCGCATGGTCCTGAACATAATAATTACAAAGTAAACGAGTTCCTCAAAATGCTAAACTTACTAGGGGTGAAATCCTGGGCTCTGTTGAACTCAATGACAAATCTGCCATTGACTTATATGGGTCCAGAATTTACCCTTGTGTAAATATTCACTGATAATTCAATCAGCTTTAGCTCCTAGTTTTCCCCTCATAACTTGATGTGTGTTATTCAGGGGAAAGCACATCTTCAGCAGTTCAAGAAACCAGGATGCAAAGTTGTAATGGTAAAATTCAATCTGATAAAAGATCAAGGATAACAATGAAGACAATTTTCAGAGTAGGAGCCGTGTTAGTCTGTATCCGCAAAAAGAAAAGGAGTACTTGTGGCACCTTAGAGACTAACCAATTTATTTGAGCATAAGCTTTCGTGAGCTACAGCTCACTTCATCAGATGCATTCAGTGGAAAACAATGAAGACAATGATACTCCACAGCCATTAAGACAGTACAGGTGTCACAGGTCTCTTTGCAGGATGTACCTACTAACTTTTGTCCCTGATATCCAGTTGTGGATAAAAGCAAAAAGATCAAGAATCAGCTAAAAAGACTAAGGTCCAAGGACAGCAGATCTGAAACAGAAACATCACAAATGCAATGAAGTACAGAAGGAATCAGGATCTGGGAGAACAAAAAAGAAAGATTGAGGAAACAAAGCGAAGACAGAAACCCACCCTCTTTTTAATGAGACACTAGTCAAAATACGGTTTATAAAATTAACTTTCTTTGCTCATGTTACTAACAATACACTTTAATATTACAGCTGCAAGAATGTTTAAACACAAATGTATGTTTATTTCTATTGTTTGGCTACTTTGTGTACTTTTTGAAGCCTATACTATGAAAATCAGTTAGACAGTTTAACTTTCTGTTTCAGATACACTAGCATGCTGCTGCAACATAGTATGTTGACATCTCAATGGCAAATTTTATTGAAATGTAAAAGTTACATTAAAATGTTAAATGTTGGAACTCACAGTAATTATTAAAGGGCATATGATAAAACTACACAACAGTTTAAGAAAGGAAGTGAAGAATACGGTAAATATCCAACTGAAACTGGGGGGAGATTTAGGAAAGCTGAAAAGAATTACTTCAAAATTAATTTGTCCATTAACACACTTAGTCTCAAGAAAAGATGCATAGGATCTTTAATGACAGACTGCACACCACAGTACTTCCCAGCACCCTGCTGTGCATATTCTCAGTACAGGAGCTTGATTTTGTAGTTCTTAAGCAGGCAAAACTGCTTTTGACATCAATGGGAATGCATAAGGACTTCAGGAATGAGCCCTCTGATAGAAGTGTTATCTATGACATCATGTTATAAAGCACTGAGGTTGTTTCGAGGATTTCGCATTCAAGCATCAATCCAATCCAACCTTTCTCAGCTGGTGAGAAGTGACAGAATATTAGCACAGGGTCCTCTAATTATTCCATAAACTCTTAGCTCATTAAGCTTCTCTTTTCAGTTCCTAGTCAATCACTCTTATTTGTTGCAATGTAATCTCTGCTGACTACAAATGTATGGAAATTATTTCAATCAAAGCTATACTGTACAATGCAGAAACTATGTTACATTGGGCACTAGAGGGCAAAGTGAGATTATAGCTAAAATGCCACAGTAAAATCGTTCAGTGCCTTTAAGGCAGTAAGAATCACACGGGAATAGGAGGAAGTTTATTTTGCGTTACCGATTCCAGTCAATTTCCCTGAGCAGACATGACCAAGAGTTTTAGAATTTAGCCTGTTATGCCATCGCTGTTTTCTAAAATCTCTAAATTTTAGGCCCAATCCTGCAAACCCCCATGCCTGTGTGATGAACCTTACACACCTGAGTTGACCCATTGACAATAACAGAACTACTTACAGGCATAAGCCTTCGCAGCTCGGGCGCACCGATAGTGGGAGCCATAAGACTTCAACGGGGAGGCTCCCTAGATTAATGTTCACCCCAATAAAAAGGAGTCAGCAATTTCCTCATAGATGGAGGGGTGGGGCAGACTGTGTGTATGTATGTGTGACAGAGAAATTTCTGGCACCCCCTGAGTAGCAGTGCAAAGGTTTGGGAGACTTACCGGGGTGATGGAGGAGCTGAGGGAAGGGGAAGTAATTGTTGGGAAAGTACTAGGGAATGAACCTGCGGGTTTGTTGAGTGTGGGTGAGAGAAGTCTGGAACTTTTTTTGTTTTTTTGGCCGGGGGGGGGGGGGGAGATTGTTAGGGAGTTGTGGAGCCTCCCTCATGCAGACCCTGGCTGACCCCTAGCCTCTCCCATTCAGTCAGGCACATCTGCCCCTCTCCTCATGTGTCGCTGCACCCCTACACACCCCCTGTCCCCACACGGCCCTGCACCCCTCACTCCCATTCAGCCCCTGGCTCAATGTTGAAACCCACTAGCTCCCAGAGGTGCTGCAGCACCCCCTGGCTTGAAGTGGTTCCCATCCTATCAGGGTTTACAGCTTGATTCAATGGCTCTCAGCACCCCTGCCAGCTCCTGTGCCCCAGCCCAGTGTTCCCCCGATAGCCCTTCGGAACCCCAGTTTGTGTGACACCGCGCAGCAGCCCCGTGTGCCCCGCTCTGTCCCTCCCCATATCCCGAGTCTCCTCACCTGGCCCCCGGAGCAGCGCGCTGCGCCTCTGGCGGCTCCCGCCCCTCAGCCAGCGGCCCTCTCTTCGGGCGGCACCGTGGGCACAGCGGCCTCTGGCGGGGGAAAGGGGTAATTGCAAGAAACCTCTGCTCGGCGCCGGGGGGGCGGGGGAGGGGGCGAGTGTACCAGGAACCAAAGAAACAATAAAAGGGAAACGTCTGGGAGCTCCCGCCATTCCTCCGTTTGCTCTGGGGGCTGAGTTTACCTCGCGTAGGTCCAGCTGGTTAAAAGGAACCCCGCGTTGTGAACGCTTCTTACTAGCGTTCACTGTTCTGAGAACTCCCTCCAAATACCCCCATGGGGGCGGTCACCAATGCTGGGGGGGGGGGTGCAAGCTGCCGTCTGCCGCTAAAGTCCAGCTAACCCCGCTGAAAGCAAGAACTCTTGAGAGACACCGGATGCAGGAGGCTCTTCTACATTAGGGCACCCGCTGGTTTAGCTGGGCAAGTCCCCGCTGCGAGGGGGAGGTCCTCTGGGTGCACTGCCCGGGGAGTAAGACCAGCTTCAGCGCGGAAGTCTGGTGGATGAAGCCGAACAAAACCAAAAGGGGGCTGGTGGGAGGGACGCTGGATGTTCACAGACAGCCAAGACAAATAGCTTCCTACGCCGGATCGGCCAGAGCCAGCCGAGGAGAACGAGGAATGACCACGTAAAAGACCCTGCAGAAAACGGCAAAAGCAAATAATCACCCAGCCATAGCGCTGACGGTAAAATGCCCCCGCAGCCCGGAAGCTCTCTAAGAGCCAGACCCCGCTTCGTGTCCCTGGAATGCGAACCTCCTAATGCAACCCCAATGACCGTACGCTTTCCCGGGGTGCCAGAACGTGGCTGCTTGTGCGGGACCCACAGAGCTAAAGAAGACTGCTGATTGGCCCTTGGAACAGCCTCTGGGGGCAGGGGGGCGGGATGGAAAGATGCGCCCCTTAAAGACCCACTCCGCCGCGCGCGGTTTTGCGGCTGAGTTGCGCGCTGGGGCTGCGAGGGCGTTAGCGCCGCACACACGTGCCCGCCGGAGTCCCTGCCCCAGGACGCCGCAGGCTGGAAGCTCCTTGGTTTCCGGGTGCGATTTAAGACTATATAAAGAGATTGGGGTCTTCACGAGCTCGGAGATCACCTGCCGTCGATCATCAAAGACACGTGAGCGAATAACCTCCAGGTGTATCTGCGGGAACAGTGTTCTTGCTGCGTGGGCTGCTGAGCCGCTGTAGAATTCCAGTTCCTGCCTTAGGTTTGCTGGAAGCTGAAGTTATTGCCCTTCAGGACGTGCCGCAAGGCTAATCTGTGCGCTCAGGCTGACAGTCTGAGAACATGAGTGCCTCAAGTTAGGCTCCTGTGTCCCTATTTAAAAGTAAATTTTAAATAAGTAGAAGTAGCCTGACTTCTTAGGGGTGCTGAATAGGCTCCATTCCTGTAGACCTCATTCATATTTGTAGGTGCTCAGCACTTCTGAAGAGCAAGCTCCTTTCCTAAATACGGATTTTTGAGTCCTAACTTCAGGCTCGAGTGTTGTTCCTTCCCCCTCCCCCGTCTCCTTTTCTGATTGGAAGATATTCGTGGTTGCTTGAATGGGGCAACAAAAGGAGTTAGTGGGTTCTTGGATGAAATTTGGAAAGTTTGGTTTTAGGTCTCTCTCTTTTGGGGAAGGGGGTGGCTGTTAACTATGGCATATTGATACATGAGCAGGGTGGGGGATGGAACCATTTTAGAAAAAAAACAAAACTTTTCCCCACTGGATTTCAGAGTGTAATTGGCCAAATAACTAGCAACCTCAATCCTCTAACAAAACAAAGGTTTGCGTTCCAGAAGGGCTGAGCACTTGCAGGGAGGTGGTTGGTGGATAAATGTTTCAGGGGTAACTTTATTCAAAACCTCCACAGGCCTAAACAATGAATGGAGCATAGTTTTTGCATATATGTGTAAAAGGGTGAGAATCAAAGTGGAATCTATGGACCAGATCACCCTCTCCCATTAAAAGAGCCACAGGACATGGTGAATGCACAGCACCTCTGAAAAATCAGGTCATACATTTTCATTATCAGTGTCATTACATTCACCTTCCTCTTATCCTCTGTCTTTGTTAAATTTTTTCTTCATACTGCCAATTACTTACAAAGATCCAGCCTTGCTTCTGAGTCATTTGCTTTTGCTCTTACTGTCAATTGTAGTCCTAAGGTTTCTTATCTTGGCAGGCCAGAGGCTGTGTTGCTTCCTTTGTACTATAGCTTGAATACTGACTGTTTATAGTTTGTCTTCCTTGATAAGAAATATCTGGAAAACTTTTTGTGTATAAAACAAAAATGTTTTTTCAACTGCTAAAAATACCTAGAATTGTTTCCAATGGTTCACTGAAAAAATAATACTTATTTACTTTCCTAATACACAATGTTCTCCATTTAGCCACCTCCACCATTGGGTACAGCCCTGAACTCCTTATCTGGGCAAACTCCCACTGGCTCTTTTGCAGATTTTTTTATTATTTTGAATATCTTAAATACACTTTTGCTGCTCCATAATAAAATTTACACCATTGCCTTAGTGATGAGATTGAGTCCTGTTGCAGCTTCACACACACATTAAAAGAGGGTTTGCTGTGCTGAAAGACCTTTTTTTTTTTTTTTTTTTTTTTTCTAGGCATCCACTGGGAAGCAAAAGAGCCCTGGTAAGAGTTAAGGAATTTAAAAGGAAAAAAAAATTAGATACTATTTAAAGGGTCCTCTGTTAGACACTGGATTTTTATTTTTATTTTATTTTTTTTAAAAAAGCTCCATTTAAAAAAAATACAAATTGACATTTTTCTATTGATTTTTAAAAATGAACTGTTGAAATTTATATTAGATTCAGCTTCTTAAATAGCAATTATAAACAATGCTTTATAGTGGTCAGCTCAAATGATAGCAGTTCTTTACTACATCATAAACTCAAGCAACTTCTGTGCAGCACTGATTTTTATACATGGATTAAGATCCATTATTGAAAAAGATTAGTGTTTATTCCAATGTAGGAGTACTTGGCTGTGTGGTGTTAAGTTCTTGATTAATATCCTGTGGTCTGAGGTGATGTTTCCCCAATTTTTCGCCCCAAATCCACATATGCCTACACAATGAATAAAACATAATGTGTTTGCATTTGTGTGTCAGAGGGGGAGTAGCAAAGTGCAATGTAAAGGTCAAATCACCTCCTCACATTGGGGAAAAAAGAGCAACAGGAGAGGGTAAAAAGAAAAGGAGTACTTGTGGCACCTTAGAGACTAACAAATTTATTTGAGCATAAGCTTTCATGAGCTACAGCTCACTTCATCGGATAAGTTAAGGTTAACTCCATGAGGTACCCCTTAGAGTTTTCTCTAGATCATTCCTTTGGAGAGTTTGGCTCCCAGAATCTCTTCCCTGGCTTCAGGTCCCCTGAACTTCCTCTAGCTTTCTGGTAGCCCTGCTCCGCCTGAGCTGTACAGGCAAGGACTCTTCCATCAGCCACCACTTCTCTTCTGATAGTCTTTTTATTTCACATGGACATGAATAAACACACATTTCTAGATGCGTTTTCCCCTTTCACCCAGGTATTCAGCCTTGCAGGATTGTTTCCATTAGGATAAGAAATTGATTATGAGTTAGGGATGTTCTCAGTGTAACTTTTTTTTAATTTACAAAAACTTAACACTGTCTTGTTTTCCTGAACACAGTAGAAACATAACGGCAGGCAGTTCCTTTGCTCGGAAATCCTCACAATCACTGCTTTAGTGAGCTCTTTGCTTTAGAAGCCCTGTCTCTCTGCTTCTTCTCACAGTCATGCTCACTTCTTCCCCTGGCTTTCCTCTGTCTCAAACACAGAGTGCAAACCAATATCCTGGCCCCTGCTTTTGCAATCAGGGAAACAGCTCAGTCCACATGGTTTAGCTCTTACCTGAAATATAGGGTATTTTCTTGGGCAGTAGCCTCTTCCCCCCCCCCTCCTTTTTTGCAACTCCTATTGAGCCTGTAAGAGCAGTTGGCACATCCATTGGCTTTAATGAGGTCTATGATTGTCTTTGAATCCAAGATTCCCTTCATGGCAACCATTAGCACCTTTCAGCCCAGCATAAAGACTCAAAAAGTTTGCTTTAAGATGGTGAACGTTTTAATTTAGGGCCATATCCTGGAAAGGGTTGAGAGTCTCCTGCCATGGTCAGAAGTCAATGAGAGTTGAAGGTGCATAAGACTTGGCGAGTGGAACTCAGCACCTTGCCAGACTGGGCTCTTAATGTTTAGGGCTAGCCTGTGAGCCTCTTGCCCACACTGGTAAGCAGTTACTCACACAAGTAGTTCAACAAAATCAAGTGGGACTACTCATGTAACTGCTCACTACCGTAAACATGAGGCTCACAATCTGGCCCATAGTAATTTGTTTTGCCCTGACTTATGACAACCACGTTTTTTAGACTCCAGATACCAAGCCATAAAACTCAGATAACCCTCTCTGCAGAAGCAGAGAAGACCAGAGCAAGAGAAACCTTTTAAATATTCCAGTTAACTTTTTCTATTACCTGTTCCTCTACATCAAATTTATCTTTCCTAGTACAATGTCTGGTTGAAATAATCACTCTCACAAAGATTAAAAGAATGAGGCCCCCAAATAGAAGGTATTTAAGATTCAAAAGTACTTGTCAAATAAAAGTTTGGAAAGAGTTTATTTTTAAACAATTACTTTGCTCACAGCTCTTGGGCTTTAGGGATGTGATTGTTTGTACAGTGCATTTAAAAATCACAACATAGAGATCTGTGTCTCTTCCTTTTGAGCGAGACTGTAACCTTATAATCTTTCCTGAGTGAAGGAGAGCGTACAGCTGCATGGCTCCAGGAGCAGCCAAGACAATGAGTCACAATTCCACTCCTGCCTTGGGGAGCAGCTAAGTTACTTCACCCCTTTTCATCCAGTGTTTTGCTCACTCTTTGCTGTGCAGCCAGTCAGCTACTCTTATTGGGGATGGAGGAAATGAGCCATGGTTCCTCCCACTCTCCACCCTTCACTTCCTCATTAACTACTCTGTGGGCAATGGCAAGGGAGTATCTGTATTCTCTTCCCCCACATTTTGAGTCACAATGTCACTGAATATCCTCTTGCTCTTGTACTATGAGGGAGGGGAACACACATTCCTTCCTTACCTTCTGTAGGCCATTAAATATTTTGTATATTTTTTTTTTGTCATGTTTCCCCTCTGATTTGTCTCCTCAGTTTGTCTTTACAATCTCTCTACATCTGTGAGCATTTCCATGCCCCAACCACTCCTGTTACCTCTTGCTTATCTGGCTGTAATTTTGCAATATTTATAAGTGGATAAGTCAGCTAAAACATTACAAAAATACAGGGTAAAGCATTGTAATAAGCTTCAAATTAAATTATATCAAACAAGATGAAATACGGGTATCTTAACTTCTGCAATGCCTCTGGATGGCCTCTAAAGTGATAAGTAATATAGTCTAATGGGAGACACATTCACTCTATTAATCTACTCCATCAGTGACAGTGTAGATTGCTTTGTCCTGTGTCTCATTATGTGTATTCTTGCTACTTTGATATATTTTGTCATGTCTAGTTATTTAATATATTAATCTTCTAAATTATTTAAAATGCAAACATCTGGATTAAATAAATCAAACACACACCCAGCAAATCTTGTATATACAGGATTGCATCTGACCAAACATTTGCACATTTCCATACTATAGGCATAAAAAGTGCAGCTTCCATTTCCAGTGAAGTAACAGAAACAGCGTTATGTAGCATATTTATTTGCTTTGGAGTCACTTAGTCTGCTGAAAATTAAATACCATCACTTTATCTTTTCTATTTATGGATACTTGTTTAACTGGCTTCTGTATCACCCTATGCTCTTCTCCAGAATAATCTGCGTTTAATTTTGCATGCTTACTCTCAACTGGCCTCTGAAAATACCTCTTCTGACTAACTGCAAAAACTAGTGGAACTGAGTCCAGAGGCACTATTTGTAATAAGGCAAAAAACAGGCCTGAGGTAGTGCCTGCAGAAGAATGATAAAATGAATGAGGATCCCTTGAGTTAGTGGTTCCTTCCTTTTTACTAGGAAAGTGTCTACTTCTTTGCAGTGCTGCTTTCAGTGACGCTGGGGGGAGAAAGGAGGAGGGGTAACCTCCTAGAAAACAGCTGTTGCAGCTGTGACCAGAGAGGGAGAGACAGATGCAGCAGCAGTGACCATCTCCACACCAACTAGTAACTCTTGAGCAAAGGCAAAACCAGCAATTCAACCCATTCAACTGCAGAGAAGAGGGGAAGGTAAAAGGGGCAGGGATATGCATGCAGGAGGAAACATACTTTTGTGCTGGTTTTCAGCTGTTTGTCCTTGTTCCCTGCCTCCCTCAGTTGTAACGCTTGTGGGGGGTGGGGAGAGTTGAACTAGAAGCTCAGATCAGTAGGACAAAGGAAACAAGGGCAGCAGATGGGGTTTTCTACCAGATTTTTTTTTTATTTTTTTAAATCCTCACTCTTCGGTTTCCATGAGCTATTGCTTCATCGGTGTCTATTTTATTAAGTAGCAAGTGTTCCCTTGGGGGTGGTGTGGAACTGTATAGCTACTAACGGGGTACTGTTCAGCTCTTTAAGCTGTTCTGGGAGATTCCTCCCTTGGAACAGGAAGTGACCCTGGCCACAGTCTGTGCCAAAACCTACACAGGTTGTCATGATCTCTGTCCTTTGGATGTACTATTTAGTATCATAATGGAGAGAAGCCTTAAGAGCAGGGGTTCGCCAGAAAAAATTCACTCATGGCAGCCAGAAGACCTGGGCATTGGAAGCAGCAGGTGGGCCCCGGTTGCAGGGCAGACAGCCGAAGCCCCAGGGAGAGCGGGGCCGGGCAGTTGGGGCTGGCAGCCTGAGCCCTGCCCCCGTGAGCCAGCCGCCCAAACCACAGTGCTCTGCGCGGGGCTGGCAGCCCAAGCCCCAAGGAGAGTGGGGCAGGGCAGTTGGGGCTGGCAGCCTGAGCCTCGGTGGTCAGTGGGACCTGCAGCCTGATCTCAGTTGACCGGGGCTGTCAGCAGGGTCCAGCAGCAGGAGCCCTGTGGAGTGCAGAGGAAATTTAAACTTAAATCCCCAGAAATATTCATTTTTAGGAGGGGGTTCATGAGATTTCACAGCTTAGTCAAAGGGGTTTGCAGGCTGTTAATGTTTGGGAACCATTGCTCTAGAGGGTACAGTGGAGGTTTACAAGCCCACTGTCAGATGCAGACACCCAGGTGCTAATGGTGACAGTCATCACAGAAACACAATACTATTAGATAATAAGAGTAGTAGTAATATGTAGTTCTGTAATCATCCTATTTCTGAAAAAATCTGACTTTCCAAACTAAAGCTGTTACCATCTCACATTCTCGGCTGGACAACTAAAGCATAAGCAAGTATATGCTATCTGCCTGTATATTTTAGGAGGAAATAGGACACCCCCATTTTGCGAGTTATGCATGCTGAGGGAAAACAGAGATCTGTTATCTAATGCAGTCTCTCACTTTCCCAGACCTGTGGGTGTGCAAGAAAAAGCAAAGTTTTTCTTCTGAACAAGTTGGGATCCGCCACTGGGTCACAGCATCATAAAGGTTTCAATGTATTTATGCAAAGTAATAATTATAACATTATAAAAATTACAACTAAAGCACTAAGAAAAGGAGTTCTTGTGGCACCTTAGAGACTAACCAATTTATTTGAGCATGAGCTTTCGTGAGCTACAGCTCACTTCATCAGATGTATACCGTGGAAACTGCAGCAGACTTTATATACACACATATATTTCATATTCTCTGTGTGTATATAAAGTCTGCTGCAGTTTCCACGGTATACATCTGATGAAGTGAGCTGTAGCTCACGAAAGCTCATGCTCAGATAAATTGGTTAGTCTCTAAGGTGCCACAAGAACTCCTTTTCTTTTTGCGAACACAGACTAACACGGCTGTTCCTCTGAAAACTAAAGCACTGTCCATAATGAACTCAGTGGGCTGGGTTTGTTTGCAGTGATGCATGTCACTCTGTCTCTCCATTCCATTCAATTCTCAAAACAGGCAAGGTATTGAAATGCATAATGTTCCTAAAGAACCTTTCATCTGAGGATCTTAAAAGCAGTTGACAATATTAAGGGATGTATTCTTAGATCACCCCTGTGAAGTAGAGAAGTATGTCACCCCCATTATACATATGGTGAAAGAAAGGTACAGTGAGCGTGTGTGACAGATGTAGGAATAGAACAGCTATCTCCAGACATCCCATCCTGTGCTTTATCCAGTAGGCCATGCTCCTAAGAATGCTGCAGGATCAGGCAATCCAATGTAAATGTGTATGGATTCCTGCTGTCAGCCCAAAAAAAGCAAGAAATCTAATTAAAGCCAAACACCTTTGACATTTTCCCTTTAAGTGGAAACAATGACAGTGGAGTTTTGCTTCAGGCCTGTGTAACAGGTTCCCTCTCCGAGCATTTATTTTTGCTCCTCAGACATAAAAGATGCTGCAACTCACATATAGGAAATATCATAGCAAAACAATTGGACTTTCTAATGTATTATTTTTCATTCCATTTAAATCCTCTTTCTTCCTCAACAGATTTCCCCTCTTCCCTCAAAGGCTCTGCATGGTAGGAACCTTCCATGGGTGAAGAGGGCTGGGTAAGACTCCTTTTGGAGCTCCTCAAAGACACTTCTTGCGTAGTGCCAGAAGTCCATGTGGAATGAAGAAAAGTACTTCCAACAAACAGCCTAAATGTGCTACTTACACTGTTCTTAGCCACTGCCAGCCTGGTGTAGGAAAGCCCCAGAGTCCAGTGTGGTCCCTCATAAGACAGTGTGGAATGCCATCCTCCAGGTCAACCCTTCACTTAAATAATGTTAAGCTCTCTTATTTTTGGGTACTGCAGTTAGTGCCTAACATTACGTATTGATGCCAGTTACAACATAGTCCCTAACACACTTACACGGCTCATCAGGATGAGTTTTAAAACAAAACAACAGGTATATTGGCCAAACATTGGAGAACACTAGCGCATAGTTAGTATTTATAAACATCCTCTTGGTTACCATTTGTTCTCACATAAGTGGTTTAAGAGTTCACATGCGCCAGATATTTGGCTGATGAAAGGTTCAGAGGAATATCCCAAAATTCTTGGAATAGTTTCAAACTATATTGAGGAAAATGCTACAAATTGTACATACGAGAGAGAGAATATATGAATTAAAAAGGATATAAACACAGTGCAAAGCCCAGGTACTATCATTAAACTGTGGTGGCTTTTGACTAAGCAATGGAGGATCTTGCCAGAACCTCTTAATATCTAACAACTTGTTCATACTTTTCCTATTGTTATAATATATGGATCCAGTTACTGGTTATTAATGGTACTTGACAGTAATGTTCATGTTCGGTGTAACTTATTTTTCCGTTTTAGGAATTTTTTTTCCTTAGTGCAGTAAGCTACACAACCCAGAGGATGTCAGCCACTATTAAATCCTGTAGGGTTTTAGTGATATCTATACATCCCTGTTGGCTTAATCTCTATTAAACAGTATAGGACTTTTCCATAAGGTGTTTGTACGAATGTATGTAATATGACAATGGGGGCTAGAACACTGGAGCACCTCAGAGTACTGGAAAATAGAAATAATACAATCAATTTATCTTTCTTCCTTCCTGGCTTGTGGGAGAAATAGCTTGATTGGCTGTTATGTGTGAGAGAGGAAGACAGACATTACAAAGGGAAAGTCATGTCAAAGAGATGAGTTTGCACTTAATTCTGATCTAGGCCATTCAGTGTCTGGGTCATCCTTAGACGTTGCAGGAGCAAATTCCACAGTCTAGGTCCAGCTCCTGTGAGAGTTCGGTCTCCCATGCTCACAAAAATCCCACTGTTGGTTGACATTTACATGCTTCCAGTAAAACATAACCGTTGTGGAAGGCCCTGGTGATTGGAGAAGAGATCTTCCAGGCAACCAGGGTTTATCCCTTGTATATCAGGAGGGAGCGCCTGATTTGGACTCGATAGCTCGTGGGCAGATAGCAAGGAGAGCAAAACACTGGAGTGATATTCTCATGGTGGCCTGTTGGGCTGATTCGTTGTATATCAGTTGGAGCTTTATTCTGGCTGTGAGGGTTAATTCCTAGATATGAGTTGCAATAATCAAGCCTGGAGGACATGAATATGTTGATCACCATGCCAGATAATGGATGGTCCAGTAGGTAATGAACTAGTTTAGGACGGGGGAGACTTAGTTTAAGACCCTACTCTACCTTGGACTTTGTGTGACCTTAGGTAAATATCAAGGCTATGTCTACACTTGCACTTTTGTTGATAAAACTTTCGTTGGTCTGAGTGTGAAAAAACACAAGTTTAACTGACAAAAGTGCTGGCATGGACAGCGCTGTGTCGGTGGGAGACGCTCTCCTGCCAACATACCCACCGCCACTCCTGGGGGTGGTTTAATTATGCCAGCAGGAGAGCTCTCTCCCACCAGCATAAAGCAGCTACACGGGAGACTTTACAGCGGTGCAGCTGCAGTGTAGACCTAGCCGAATCTCTCTCTCTCAATTCCCCACATGTAAAATGAGAATAACAGAATTCCCCTACCTCACTAGGGTGCTGTGAGGATAAATACATGAAAGATTGTGAGGCACTCGGATACAGAAGTGATGACAGCCTTAAAAGCACCTTGGAGTGATTTATGTATGTCCACAAGGAAGGAGCATGATTTTCTGGCTATTGACATAGACACACTTCTTTAAAGTTTCAGCTCCTTTTCCTGGCAGTGGTAGACGTATTGTGTGTGTGGGCGGGGTATAATTTGCTTTGGGACACTGGCACAGATAGTAACATAATACAAAGTAATGTATTGTGGGTTTGCATATTTACTTTACTGTTCCTGCCTTTACAGCTGTACAATGTACACTTATCTCTTCATCTATTATTTAATCCAATTCTGTGGACATTCCTGGATATTTACAAATATGACCATCAGGTTCTTGTCATTTGGGAAAGGTAAGACTCTTCATTTTACATTGCTTTATCATTTTACTTTAAAATCCCTAAACTGGACATAACAAACTTTGAACAAATGTAGGACTCTTTGTTACTGTGTCAAGTTATAATTTGTTAGATTGATAAAATACTGCATCTTTCAATGCAGATGACCATTGGATTGGTTGAACAAAACAATACTAATACATCTGCACTATTTTTATAGCTCTTGCTGCTATGCTGTCTCTCTTCTGCTAAGGACAATTAATATTCCATGGTATTTGATCTGACCTGCCTTAATATTTTGGAAGATAAGAGCTATATTTGGCCCTATGTTGACTGAAGTTCAGGGACAGAAAATAACTGACTTCAGAGTTAAAAATAAATGACAAATATTGGGAATACAAAGGACAAAGGTTTACACATAAACTATAAAGTCCAGGTAGCAGATATTTTATTAAACATCAAACCTTCCTCTATTGCAGAGGAATGTTTTTGAAACCAAATATCCAGGTCCTGCACAGATTTATTCAGTGGTCATTATAGCCACTTCACTTAAAAAAAAAAAAAAAAAAGTGTGTCAGATGTAGACTATCCCATGCCCTTCTTAGCTTCCCCACTACGTATACTACTTCCCAGACATTCATTCTGTGCTTGTCTGTTTCCAAAGGTCAGTGGCATGTGAACTTTACTTTTTGACACCTCAGTGGTCTTATCTGAGGCTTGGCATAGAAAGGATTCAGAGATTTAAATAATAGCACTGTGTTTTTTCTTCTTCCCTGCGGTTGTAGATTCTTTGGCCGATACCTTCTATTCTATAGGATTCGTAATGTGCCTTTGCCAGTCGTTGTCCATACTAGAGCTCCTGCACATTCTAGTTGGCATTGAAAAAAACTGTTTTCTCCCAAGGTTTTTACAGGTAAGTCAATTTATACTGCACCAAAGAATCCCTGTCTCTTTCTGATTGGATTTAACCTGAGCTGCAGTTGGTGACTAGGAGATACTTACAGGATAGAATGCCCCAGCATAATTCCTAATGTAACTTCCAGCAGCTCTAACTCGCTTCCTTGCCCCTTCCCTACAGTTAAGTGTATACTCGTCAGCAGACCAGCATGTTTGGTATCAGAATCCCCAAATGTATAATGGCAAAAGAAAAACAAACACAACGTAACCTACTGGGTGACCAGTAGAGCAGAATGAAGGGAAGACTCCCTTCATGGACAATTGAGTGCTTTCTGGAGCAGTGTTTATAGTCAGTAGGAGACTGGCTAATTCTGAGCGGTTGAATTCCCCCCACTTCCGTCCTGGAAGATAAGTATATCTCCTTGACTTCAATGAGAGACTCTTTTATTCAGGGTATTAAACAGCTTGGGGACCTGCTACTGTCTAAGGCTCTGAGGGACCACTAGGAGGTACTGTGTCAGGAGAAAAGAAAGGAGCTGGGCCATTAGGAGGTAGTCGGGGCACAAACCTCACCTTTAGTGAATTCCAACTGGCTCTGCTTTCCCCTTGCTGTGCTCAGCCTGCCTAGCTGCCAGTTCCTAACCAGTTCCCTAAGGCAGGAACGAGCAATGGGGAGGCACCACATACATAACCATGTGTGAGGAGGAACAGCAACTGGATTGCAAAGTGGTGGCTGAGAAACCCTTCCCAGCAGTTCAACAGGCTCAAGCTGCCTGAAGGAGGCACCGTTTGTTGGTGCTCATTGAGGGGAGGATCTCTTTTAGAGAGGGGTGGGCAGGGAGAGAGGAAGGGCTATGCCTGGGCTGGGTAGGAGGAAAAAGCAGTTCCTTTTTTTGACTAAAGGTCAAAAAGTTAGCACAATCACATGTCCAGACATATAATCAACTTACAAAAGGCTCCAGGGGTTGTGACATTTTATAGGAATTTAAGTGCATACCTTTTGTTGTGGGAGCAAAGAAAGAGGAGAAACCCGAACAATGTGCTCTGGCAGAGAACGAGAGAATTTTGTGTTATGTTCTCCTGGGAACTCTTATTCTCTGCTTTGGAGTTAACTTAAACTTGAGCTTTTGGTCTTCCTCTCTAAGAACTGAAAAGCCAGCAACTCCACACCTCCGATTCCTTAACAGGTGAATATTGATGAAACTGGTGCTACTGTCTGTGGTGCAAAGACAAGCACATTTAGTTGTGTTTTTAGTATTTTGGGTAACCCCCTCTTTTCAAATGATGCCCAGAATAGATGATGTATCTCTTTTGAAATCTGCATTTAAAAAAGGGATTGACTAATACAGATTTTTATCCTGAGTGCTGATTCTCAGGCATGGTGTCAAATGTAGAAAGTCATCAAAATGCAGCTAACTTTTAAATTGAAAATACAAATTCTTATAAGTCCACATGCTCCTATGCGCACACACACACAAGTGTGCTGTCCAATGTATCCTGAGGCAAATGCACACACGCCTCATCTCTTAGAGAACAGCTATCTGCTAAGGCTAAGACTATTTATTGCACAGAGGTCAGTCTTGGCTGAGCTCACACGTTCTCTAGTACTGACATAGACTTTATTATGAATGGAATTTACGATGGAAGCTCAGAGCAGGAAAGCCAGCCTGAAGACACGATTCTATGACAATACAATTGCTGTGGATAAACCAGGTTAGATGGTAGTCATGGAAGAAATAACTGACAACTGGAGAGCTGCCACAGCCTCTGTAGACAATGGGCCAAAGGCTGCCTTTCACAGCACTCCCCCCTCCCCATCCTGTCAGGGAGAAGACTCTAATTACAGTAAAACTACTGTTTCCACTGTGCAAATTAGGCAAGCTATGGAGAGACCATGCAAGAAAACTCTGCACACTATGAATCACTGCAGTGCTCATCAGGGCAGCATGGAGAGGATTGCAGGTGGGGTCTCGGAACTGGGTAGGAATGGGTCAGGAAAGGATATGAGCAGGTATTATTTGTATTGTAGTTGGACTTAGGTTATGTCTTCACTGCAGAGTTAGTCCAGGCTCCTTCCTCCTGTCCACACAAAAAAAAAACCCAGCTCACTTGATGTTAATTTCAACCCAGGCAAGCTGGCGTGGTTGGGGGTATGGGTTAGAACCTGGGTGCTGCTTTCACTCAAGCTGGTAATCTGCCCACTTTGCAGTGAAGATACAGGTTAAATAACTCAAGTGTTGATACAGTTCTCCAATGCCTTCCCACAATTGCCCCCATGTGCCCGGAAGGACAGACAAATTACTCCACAATTCACTCTGAAAGAATCAGAGTGGATCACAAAGAACCATGGGATATGTTGCCAGAAGTCCGAGCACCACTCATGGGTGAGTGCAGCACTACTGAGGATGCACTTCACTAGAGTGTGGCTGTTCACACCTGAATTAGGCTAAGCCTGGGTACTGATTACCCAGGCTAACTCTGTGACTAAGGACATACATTTAAAGGCCTCCTCCAGGGCAGTGTTCATGTATGCACACATGGTCCCTGTGCCAAAGAGCTTACCATATAAGATGAAAGACAAGTGGATATAAACAGATGGATGGGGGAGCACAAAGTAACCGTTAATGTTTATGGTAAGTGTAACAAGCAGCGATCACACCACATTGGTTGCCTGGCCATGGTGCTTTGTTCTCTACACAGCACAGCTGAGGTGAATTTTAAGGAGAGATTTGAATGTTTACAAAGAGGGATTGTGCAATCTATTTTGTCCTGATTGAATCTGATTTCTTGCTGTCTTGCTTACTCTTAAAATGGTCAAATTGTACTGTGGAAATTTGAGCTTGCGTACAGGACTGAGTGGATGCTGGGATGGGGTAACTGTGAGAGAGAGGAAATTCCACTTTGATCTTCATGTACTGAATGAGGACGAATGAAAAACAAAACCATACTGTTTACATTTTGTGAAATGACTGCACATGCTTCCTTTTCCCTTTTTAAGGACATGAAAAGACATGGTTTCTAGTGAAATTTTTTTAAGAGTATCAGGGCAAATACTTTACCATAGTCAATTAGGGATTGTAAGAGCGAGAACACAAAGCCACATGCAAACCCTCATTTACACATAAAGCAGAATTTTTTTTCTTTAAACAAACAAAAAAACCCCCTACTTTCTTCCCAATTTACTAAGGTACTAACTCTGTCAGCTGCTCTGTGTTGACAGATCCCTGAGAGCCTGTGAGGAACCCCATTGACTTAAGCAGGGTTGTTGCTGGCAGCTTTTTAGTTTAATAATTTCTGAAGGCTGCTCTGTTAGTCCCTTTCATCTTTGCTCCCTGGCTGAGACTGGAGTCTGATTCACTCCCCTCTAAGAGTTTACTTTGTGTTAACAACTGAAGGGAAAGATATGGCCAGAGAGCAAAGCTTAATCTGTGGCATACGTTAAAGATTTTCAAGAGGAGGAACTGGATCCAGCAGGGGGGGTTGTGTTCTGTTTCTAGATAACTAGGGGCTGGCAACAGGAAATCCGTTCTCGCATCAGTTTGATGAAGAATAAGACGATGCATGGACATTCTGCTGTATCTGACAGATGTGGAAGAGCTTTGTTGTTAAAATTATAGTCTGTGCCCAGAGTTCCACACAGGAACTGGTAAATAAGATATAGAAAAAGTGTTGTACAGACATTCTATTCTAGTTACGCAGTGTTCTTTTCATGACTTCATAAGTGGGTAGATACTTTGCCCATTAAATAATTTAAATCTATAAGAGTTAACAGAACAGATTGTGTGGGTCACTTGCTCAGCTGGTATGACGTCAGTGTAGCTATCTTGGTTTACACCAGCTGAGAATTTGTCCCTATATTTTAAACACTTTCAATGCAAGTATAATCCAGAGTGGATTAACGTCAGGCTTTTGGGAGGATTACACAGGCCTTCAGGATTTTTGTTACTGCTAAAGGCATGAATGCAGCCTGGGGACCTAAGCTGAAGGAAAGAACAGGGATGCCAGACTTAGTGTAATACACACTAGAGTGTCATGACATCCTTGTTGCTGAAGTGATCCAGAAGTCAGAGATACACAAACCATGCATATGAGTAGAAAGTCATTATTACTGTAATTTTTTTTCTTGTCAGATAACTGAGAGAATCATCATTTTATTTGTTATCACCAGTCAAGAAGAAGTTCAAGGGAAATATATTGTGTGCGTTTTATTTTTCCTTTGGAATTTACTGGATGTGATCAGGTAAGAAATCGGTCACCTCATAAAAGTAAAGCAAGCGCTTCTGTCACATGGAGCTATCCAAACCCAGTGCATGCCATCTGATTTTTTTCATTGTTTTGACCTCGGCAGAAACACATTTTTACGTTTTACACAAATGTTCATATTTGATAAGGCACCCTGGGGTTTCTAGAATAACTGGTGTATCAGTTAGGCAAACTGAAAACCTATTACCATATTACAAGAGTCAGCCCCTGCATTCAAGTTTTCTATTTCAAAAGATTTGACCTTTCTGACACCAGTTGAGAACAGCAGCCCAGCCTTTAAGGAAGGCCGTTCCCGAACGCTATCTCCAATACCTTTGCTTTGAGGTAAAAGCAACATCTCCTTTTTACAGCTCACGTAGGCCACGTCTACGCTACACGCTGGGGGTGATTCCCTTGCTCACGTACACGTTCTCACAGCCGCTGTCCCTGGGCTAGCGTGAGTGGAAACGGCAGCAGCGCCACTGTAGCAGCAGCAGAGGTATGGCTGAGCCCGCACCCACCAGTTTCAGGCAGGTTTATACTGTGCATGGGTCAGCCATGCCTCTGTTGCTGCTGCCCATGCCCTTGGATACACAGCTATTTTTACTCATGCCAGCTCAATGAGAGCTACTGCAAATACATGTAAGTGAGCAGGGGGAAGACAGCCTTAGACACAAGACTTGTAGTACAGTAACTCACAACTGCAGGCCATTCATTAAGATTTTGATCGTTATATATCAAGTGGACAATGCATTTCAGACTGCAAAGAGACCTAGTTCTTGCCCCTGTGACCTGAAAGTTTAGGCTAGATAGGGCATATAAATGACACAGGGAGAAATCGCAGTAGGCAAAGAGCATAGGAATAGAAAAAAGATTTACACAGCATGAAGTTACAGGTGACTTTCAATGGAATGTGTGTTAAGTCACTTACAATCCCACCCTGTTAGTTTTTGCATTGGACATAAAACTCACCCTGTGCAAGAACAATGTGCCTCTGTGGATTTCTGTTTGTTTTTTTTTACTTACATCAAGGAAGACATGTAGGCTTAAGTGGCACTTAAGCAGTGTATAGCCCTTGCACCAGTTCTCTGCAAAGGGATGATTTTCACCTTGGATGGGTTTTTGTTCCATTATTTAAAATTCATTCATTTGTACTGAGATGACCTTGATGTCACTGGAGAGGTAGCTGAAAGATGTATGGTATGAAGAGAGCTGGAGAAGGAAGATGAATGGCATATGGGATCAAGATGTTTGTTCGGGTTCTAGGTGAATTTGTTTTAATTATTCATATCCCATTTTTTTAATTTTTAAAGATTCAAAGGTAAAATAAAACCCAATGAAAATGCACTCTTCAGCTAATGCGAAAAAGAAAACATCAGAAACAAAAAGCTCCAGCATAGAATTGTCAATATGTTATTATTTACTATAATCCTTAAAGACCAACTATTACAGTCAAAATAATGGCAACCATCAAGTATGCAAACGGATGAGACCTCCTACATAATATTGTCTCCAGCATAAATGTACGGTTCAAATAATAATGTAAAATGTTAGTATTGATTTAGAAATATTTTGAATCTAGTTTACTTTATAGTTCCTCCTTATCTATGGAGAACATATCTGTCTAGTTCCCTTTCCTTCGTTTGTTCACCATGGGGGTGTGTGTGTAGATAGATAGATATAGACTTAATCAGATTTGCATCACAATCAGCCATCAGTAATGGATACATTAGCCCTGTCTGCTTGATTGTGTTAGACTCATTAAGTGTTCTGTTATGTCTTTGAGGCACAACTTCCTTGGGGGGTGATTGTTTAGGAGAAGTACCTGCTCCTTAAGAGAATTTCCTTCAACTATATTTTAAAACATACCAACAGAAAATTCACTGGAGACAAACCCCAGAAAAACAGCAGCTGTCAAAGGTTATATTTATTTTCAATGTTTCCCAGCCTCTAGGGAATACTTGCATTGTCTTTATTTACTGATTAGGGTTGAGCATCTGAGAAAGCATTATTTGAAATTACAGCACTGGTAGATCCAGTGGGCGTAGTGTGGGGAAGATCACACCAGCAAAAGGGGATGTTTTGGTGATAGAGCCAGGAGGAGGCTCTTCTTTCATACCTTAACAACCAGTTCTAGATACATTCTTAAAAGAGATGGAAGTTTTCTGAGCGTTAGAGCTAATGACACAGGGAGGGTGAATTCTACCTACCCCTACACATCTGATCTTTCTTGCTTATTACCAAGTGCACAGTCTGCGTTTTCTACTGTATTGCAGGTTTGCTTTAAAAAAAAAAAACTGGTGAAAAATAAAGGGAGAGAGGAGAAGGAACAGCACAGGTTTCCCTAACCTCTTTACCTTTCCATCAGGTGTACCACCCAGGATTTCACAGAAAGTTAATACTGGGGCCACTAGGAAGTTTGCTGAGGGCTGTGTTATCTGCCAGAAACAGTCCCAGCTAATGGTGGCTTAAACACTTTTTTTAAAGCGATCTACAGTAAGCATAGGCCTTTCAACTGACCAAAAATGTGATCAAACCAGTCTCAAATCTTCAGAAAGTTACTGGGTCACTCAGTTCAAAGAAGCTGGTAAGAATTAGACCACCTTGAGAGTCTAACAACCAGGAGTTCTGGATTCCCATTATGCATGATGACTGTTCAATTTCAGAGGAAATTGCTAATTACCATATAGCCCTAGGAAAGAAGTCTCCATTATGAAGCAGCAGGCATTCCACTTAACTGACAATCTACCAGTGTTCTGGAATTCTTGTGCTAGTACATAAACAATTTTCCATTTTACTCTTCCGAGATGGCCAAATCCTACTCCCAGACCCGACAGGGAGAGATACTGTTCTTAGAGTTCTTCCTCTAAGAAGCATTAGCCTGCATTTCTTGACACAAGGGGCCCTGTGGGCTTTTTTTTAACCGCCTACTAAAATCATCTGAGGATTCAAGGGTGTACATAATTGGGATATGGAGACTTATTGATGGGCCCTTTCTGAGAGGGCTGCTAGGTCCTTGGTGTTCTCCTGAGTCCCTATATCCACCTCAAAACTTTTTAGAACGACACCCATGTTGTGTAGTTACTGACTCTGACCCTCAGTTTTTTGCAATGAAGATAAGGGAAATATTCCAGTGTGTATTTCTGGGCCCCATGATGGGGGGCTGCCCTCTTACTGAACACTAGTGCCATCTGTAACCATGGCAGTAATCCAACTTCTAGCCTGCTTCAATAATTTAGCAATAATAATATATGATCTAAAAACAACTATAATGGACTATATTCTAGTGTCCGTTACATGTATGAGCCTCCCATTGAAGTTACATGCATACCTGAAGCCCATTTCCTGACAAACCAATATGAAAGCACATTGGAAACTGGTTTGCATGAGAGCCTTCACGACCAGAAGCACAATATAGAATGCACCATATTATTATTGTTTTTATCTCCCCACCCTATGCCAGTGTCACAAATAAAAACTTTTCAGCAAGTTAGCTGTCTCTGGGTGCCGATGAGTTTGACACGAAATAAAATGGGTGCAATTTTTCTTTAACAAATGTCCAGCATTCCACCTGAATGGCTAAAATGATTAGAGTACAGGAATCTGGAATCCATCAGTTTCTCAAAATAGGTGACTGTTTTAAAGAGTAAGATGTTTATTCATTCCTATTTTATCAGAATTTGAAAAATAAACAAGTTCTCCTCTCCCCCCGCCTTTTTTTTTAAATTCCAGATACACTTACTGCATGTTATCAGTGACAGGAACATACTATGAAGCTTTGACATGGCTGAACTACACACTATGGATTCCAGTATATCCCCTGTCAATTCTGGCTAAAGGTAAAAGGGAGGGAGTAGGCAGGAGGCAAATTACTTTTTTCTGAATCTCACTCAGTAGAATTTGATCATTTTGATGATCAGTGTTTTTGAGAAATAAGACACATTTAACCCCTTTACTCTTATCTACACACTTTTTCATCCTTTCCCCTTTCTCTGTTTCTTTATCTTTGTTTCTTGGTTTCTACAGGACAGTTCCTTTCTCCTGGAAAATTAACAATTTGTTAGTGCAACGAAAGCCACAGAACATCAACCTAGGATGCCGACACTTTTCTGCAGTCCTTCGTGTAGCTTAACTCTAGGCACCCAGTGCAAAGCGCAAAGCGAGCAAATGCACTGGTGCAGCTGACCATACTTGAAACCAACTTATGCATGGTACCATTGTGGCTTATAGCAGTTTACTGTATCTATACTAGGTGTGCACACTATACCTGTAGCTGAAAACCCCAGCAGTGATGAGGACTAAGTAAATATTTGCTAATCCTAGTTATCAAAATGATTACAACTTCAGTCTCAAGAAAATGAATTAAAAGTAAAGCCATGCATGCATGCCAAGTATAGTGTTTCATACAGATTACATTTCTCAAGATAAGGCAGTAGACCAAGACCCATTTTCATGCCTTAAATGTAGTTTTCTTAGAGATGGCCTTTCTCTATAACTCCAGATTTAAAAAACATCAAAACATTATTTTGCAGCATTTGCCATCTATGAATCACTGCCTTATTTTGAATCCTTCGGCACATACTCCACCAAGCTGCCATTTCCAGTTGCCTTATCGATCTGCTTCCCGTACATACTAAAAATGTACCTGGCAATGCTGTTTGTAGGTAAGATTTTCATCTCTTGTGAGCAGGATCTTAATGCCACTATGCTGGAATTCACAAACCTGAGGTGGCAAAAATCGAATCAATGAAAATTCTTTGTAAGCTGTGCCTTCTCCTAGTCAGTTCCCGCATTGACACCTGTGTGTTAAGCGGAAGTCTAGTTCATGTTGCTCAGGAGTTGACTGCTTGGAATTCCAGCATCCCATTTGGAAGTGAATTATCTGTTTCTAGAGAGAGGGAGTGTGGGGAAAAGAACTATTAAGAAAAAAGTGGATGGAAAATGCATATAGTGTGTTTGAGCCACCATCATTATAGATGTTAATTCAACATAAAGTCCTGAGTCAAGCTTTGATTCTGCTGCCATTTGTAGTCAATGGAAACCTTTCCACTTATTTCCAGTGGGCATTAGATCAGGCCCACAGTGTGTGTTCTTTTAAACTAGGTCTGACATCCTGTACTAAAACTCCTCAAGGCTGGAGGAGATTTGGAGCTAAATCCAAACTTCATAGCTTGTTCCCTCACTTACGGTTACTGTGGGTTGCAGCAAAACCCTGGATCCAAACAGGCCTGCGCTTTGGAGAAGTTTGCGTCTACATCTAACTTTCTGGCTGACCGCATCTGAACCCCCTCACATTTGGGTAAAGGGTGCTAATTTTTGTAGCATGTGCCCATCTGTTTTTAAAAAACTCATTGATCCTTTTAGATGAAGTACAGCGTTGGCTGGTTTATAAGGGATTCTTGTTCAATCCTCGACCAGTAAAATGAGGACACGAGTCATGATGGTGGCTGTGGGGTGGACCTGCTAATCTGAAAAAATATCTGTGTACATATGCATCAATGTAATGGCAATAACTGCAGTATTATAATTACCCTATATATAGTAGGTGTGCTTTAAGGGTTCCAGGAAAATGTTTCAGGACCTGCATTGGCTAGATTTATTTACTGAGGTCTCATAATTTAGTATGTGCATAGTCGTCTAGCCAAGCGAAGGCATCTTCAGTGGCATGATGCAGTTCTAGGCCACTGCTGAAGCTAGTCAGCGGGCATTCATCGACAATGTGCGTCGTGTGTTGCGGCACAGCGGCACAAAGGGCTGTCACGAAGGCCCCCGCAATACTGGTTGGCTGCACAGAGACCTTGCCTGGATCTGGCATTATATCTCATATAATGACAGATACCTAAAAATATAGTGTGGTTAGCTACAAGAATATAGAACCTGTCTGAAAAGCCTTACTCCTGTGGGTTTACTGAGACCACCCACAGGACCATTTGGGTCGATTGGACTCATCCCATTAGGGTTTTCAGGTGCAGGTCTAGGTCCACCTGTTCTTTCTAGGTGAATGCTGGCCCTTTTGGAGTCTGCTTCCCTGCACTTACATTTTATGTTTCAATTTAGGTATGTACTTCATCACCAGGTACCTCTGCTCAGAAAGGAAAGCTCACCTAGGAGCCAGCTACATGAAAGAGAAAAGGAGCTAAGTTGATATCTTGTCTCATAATGAGGAAAATTCTCTAGAACTATTATGCTAGCACATTGTGTGGAAATTTAGACTGAGATTTTCAGAAGTGATTAGTGATCTTATGTGCCCAACTTGGAGCACCTTAGAGGTTCCCAATTTATGAGGGCAGGTGCTCCACACTTTCTGAAAATGAGGTCTTTTAAGGCATCTCACATGGGGCACTCAAACATAAGCACCTCAAATCTCCCGTCACTTTTTAAAGTCTTGGCCTCAGAAGTTACTCTGTCTTTTTCGAACATAAAATGACAGGTTACAAACTGTGGCAAAAAATGTCAAATCATATCAGCATTTCCTATATTTTAATAATGGTTTCCTATTGCAGCAGTAGCATGTATTCTGCATTTTATATTAAAGTAAAATGTCAATGGTATTTTGTTAGTCTAACAGGTGAGATGATAATACAATGTAAATCAGATGTATGAATATCAAATTTGCTGGAACTGCAACAGATTATGAAGCAGAAGCTGCTGGTTCTGCGTTTTGCCACATTCACACAAATACCAACAGGTAAAACTGTTCACAGAAAACCCATCCTCCTCCTCCACTTGCCCCCACATTCTTAAAGTAAATGTAAGTGACACATGCAGTTACAGTGTCTATTCAATACAAGTCCTAGAGGGCATTTAACGTACAGAAGTAGAAGTTACGATTCTAATATATTTCCAGTAGACACTATTGAAGAATCAGTTTTTCTTACCGGTGACATCCAGATTATTTTGGAATTGAAGAAACAAGACAGACAGACACACTCACTCTTACTTTAACTCAAAGTGTGATATAGTCAGTCCAAGAAATACTCTGCCTTTAAAAATAAGACAATGGATTATATAAACTGTGGGCCAAATCCAAATTGTTTCACACATGAGAACTGTCCCATTGATGTTATTGATGTCAGTGAGGTTATTTGTGCAACAAAAGTAATTAGGATTTGGTCCCATGAGGTGGGAAACTACTTTTATATGAGAAGCAAGAAAATAGGATAGGTTTTCCTGGGGGATAAATTACTTTTCTGACTGCACAAGTTACTTGGAAATAACCATAGGCTGACTTGTTCCGCATTGGTACTATTTCCCACCACCCTTTGGGCTTGAAAAAATGAAGTGGATTAAAGAGTGAAATGAAAACACTTCTGGTCATGAAAATTCTCTTTCCTATTTAAGCCTCTGAAAAAGTGAAACTTAAGTAGGCTTCTGTCTTAAGACAACATTTGAATAACCAATGAGTGAAGAGCATTTCAAATTGATGATTTAGTGGCTCTAGGACAAGTCCAGAGCCACAGTCAGGCAGCTCAGCTGTATCTGAACTGCCCCTACCTGTGCTACCACGGCTATGCTGCTATTGATGCTTGAACTAGCTTGAGTACGTGTGCATGATTAAAGGAATCATACTCCTAGCTCATACTGTAGACATAGCCTTAGATAAGTATATTTGTATGTTACCTGGGAGCAGTATACTAGACTGGGTACCATTAAACACTTTGCTTTTGCATCTAGGTATTATTGTGTATGTGGCTAACATACAGCACTTTTGGTCAGTAGATCTCAAAGCGCTTTAGAAAAGAGGTAAATATGGTGTTGCCTGCATTTAGGAAATAGAGTGAATATTGTTGTAATGTTATTTAGTTACAAAAGCAAACGTGATGTTTTTAACAATGATCATGTTATCTGCTGAAGGATGGATTTATGGGATCTGAGCAGGGGAGAATTCTCTCAGTGCAGGATCTGAGGAAGACAGAGGACCCTCTTAAGAATCCTGGGTAGCAGCTGTGCCTGGTGTGGGAAGGGAGTATCAGAGGCAGGGCTGTAGCATGTTACCCAGCAGAGAGTCCAGACAGCACAGTTAGCTGGGGACATGCTGCTGGAATGTTGACAGCCCACCTGAGACCACTTTAGCCTCTGGAGCAGTTCAGTTTCACAAGGGCTGAAAAGGTGGGTCAAAATGAACTTAGCACACCCCTGCCAACCCATTCCACAGGCTGGGAGCTCTGTGCTGTATCTCTTAGAAGCACAGCCCAGAATCTCACCTTATAAAGCATATCCTGAAAGAGTAAAATGATGGCTGATCCCTAACATTTGTTGAAAAATTATGATATTTTCCATTCTGTTTACATGGTATAGTCTGGTCAAAATTTTCAAACTCAGCTTCCTAAAGTAAGACGCTTTAAGTCTATGTTTCAGCACCCTAACAACTGGCTTATTTTTCAGCTGAACTTTGCACCCACTCCACCAAATGAAGAGAGGGAGTTGTAGGTATTGACTGCTTTTGAGAATCAAGCCATTCTTATATAGGGGTCTAAATCTGAACTTAAGCCAACTTTAGGCATTCAAAAATGAAATTGTTTGCTGAAGTTTGTTGGTGTAAAGTTACTGATCCACAAACCTATTGTAGTTGCTGGTGTTGGCAATTAGCTTTACCATTTAATTGACTGTTTTTACATTGAACCATACTTATGTGTAAAATCCCACCACTAATATTGTATTTCAGTTTGATACATTCATATTTACTTAGTGAACATTATTTTTAATCTGTGCAATTATTTTTTTAATTTTGAATTATAGCAAACCTATTTTAAAAAAATCTTTGGTTGAAAATATGGAAGTTACTACCAAACCTCATTTATCCGCACATGGGCACCTGGAGCATGTAAATGGCTTTCATTTTTATAGTGTGTATATCAGTCAACACTGATTCTGCACTAGCAGGGTGAAGATGTCGTGGGCCAGGTGTTCAAACTCATACTACGTTTGCAGCTGCAAAAAAGTGTGTTTAGTTAATCTCAAACTACTCAAAGAATTAACAGGCTGATTTGATGAATCATGCGCTCATGTTCTAGATCAGTGGTGCTCAAGCTGTGGCCTGCTTGTAGCCCAGTCAGCACACAACTGTGCCCCATGTGACATCCTCAGAGCCATATAGGTTGTGTGTGTGTGTGGATGCAGCCCACATAAACGGGATGAGAACCACTGGTCTAGATGGTTCTTAAGAATCACTACTGGCATGTTAATGGTAATACAAAGGCTACATCTACACTGTGCCCTAGGGGTGTGATTTCCAGCTCATGTACATGTACTTGCATTAGCTCTCATCAATAAGAATGAGAACGGCAGCAAGGCTTAGCCGCTTGAAACCCACGGGTACATGTACACAGTGTAGTGGAGCTATGCCACCATTGCTTATGCTGCCATAGCTACACTACTATTTATACTCGCACTAGCTCGATGAGAACTAATGTGAGTATGTGTACTTGAGCTGGGAATCACACCCCGAGGTCATAGTCTAGACACAGCCAAAATGAAAACACACATCTTGAGAATGCATATGTCTACTGCAATATAAAGCATACACAAGTACCATACCAGATTCTCACTGTTTAAAGGGTCTTGGTTAAAAGAGGCAAATAGCAGGCATAGAAGATTTATTCATTCACTTCAGCTGTTAAGAATACTTAACTGGGAATAGTAATAAGAGAATAAATATTCTAGTGTGGCATATTATGAAGATGAATACTTAACTGAGAAAACCACCATATATAGGATAGCTAAATTATACATGCTCAGACTAAGGTCACTGCAGTAGACACTAGGGACCAGTATGGGATTACTCAGTCAATTACTGGTGATGTTTACCCCAGTGCAGAGGGGGCTTCTTCAAGAACCTGAGCACCAATTAAGCTGCTCTTTAAGCTCCATCTTGTGTGGACCCTTGCATTGGGGTATATTTTTTCCTATTTAAGTTGGAGACATAGGCAGCTAAATTGTGAGGCACATGGGTTAAAGGTAAGTAGAGGGACCAGGCCAAAATAAGATTCAGAAAGGGGACTTATAAATGGGAGGGCACAGAGCCAGGAGGGTAACATTAGAAAAAAGGAAGAGGGAAATAAGATTTCAATAGCAGGAGAAATGAAGGCACTTAGAGGGAGGTGAGAAAATGTACTCCCCAATAAGAGTAGCTCCATATTCTTGCTGGGAAGAAAGGAGAAGTCCTATGTCCTCTCAGAGACACTAAGATGCTAAGGAGAGAACAGACCTGCCATCTTCCTTTTAAAATGGCAAAGGTAGAAAAGACCTGCTGTCCTCCCCCTGCTGAAAGTTGACGCTATCTCTGTAGCAGGGAAAGGGTGTTGTTGGAGTGGGAGATTTGAGGAGACGGAACATTCTGGAATGTAAGGGAGATGGGGTCATCTTAGGTTTTGAAAAGTATCCAAGCTTCTGGAAAATTATCAAGATCCCAATTTTCTGAGGCCCTGAATTGGAATATTCATGTTTAAATGAACCTGACATTCATCAAACTGTATCTAGCAATGCCCAGATCCCACGCTTACCTGGATAAGTGTCCCTGGTAAAATTGTTACAAGGTTAGCAACTATGCTACTATCACAAAAATAGCGTTGTTCATGATATAACAACAATGGATGATGAATGCTATAATATGGCAGGATCATAATGTTAACAAATTTTGTCAGTTGAAATTAAAGCTAATTTAAAAGCCAGAATAAAGAAATATGTCTTCTAATAAATACACTATGTCAAACAACAATTTTGCAAGATTTGTTTTTAATTTTTCCACCTATTCATATAAAGCTTTCTGCTGTCTGCAGCTTTCACTACACTATTTAAATACCTCTGAAAAAATTAAAATTTCTATCTCACATTCAAAATGTAGCCCAAAGCTTATCCTCATACCAGGGCAAGACAGCTCACACACAATAGAAGCTGGCCTACTGACCAGTCAAACCAAATGACTTTTCCTCTCTCTGAATCCCTGGGAAGAAAATCCCTTAATACTCAATAGTATAAAATTTCTCTGGAATGACACTTATTGATGACTGAACATTTCTTCTATTCACTTTTCTCTCAGTATTAAGGGCCGTTTCTTTATCAGATATGATGATGCTGTCTTGTGGCTACCAACCATAAGCCTTAGTCCATACTGCTTTCTTCTTGAACTCTGGTAGAAACCTCAAGGCCAGAAGTGTAGCTGAGAAAACAAGGACAAGCACATGATTATGTACAGACTGTATAGTAAAAGACAAGAATCACCTGTATCACAATTATTTCTATATTATTTTCATTGGCTGTTTGCAGGGTTCTGAAGAAGCTAGTACAAGGGGGATGGTATTTGAGCCGGGGTCTCCAGGTGCAACCACAATACAAAATAATAATAATAAATAAACTTTTCTCCCATCTCCTCCTCTTGCTAATAATCTCACCTCATTCCATGCTCTTCCCTGTTACTCCCCAAACCCCTTGATGCTTCCATATGAACGGCAGGACACCATGAAAGGGATTAGCTAAGGAAGTGTGTATAATTTCCAGCAAGGGCAGGTTGATCATATCACAATTTGCTCCTCCCGTGGGACCCAACCTGTTCATGGCCACTACAAACACTTCCCTGTCCCTGCAAAAGCATCCCCGGATGCACTCTGAAAAAGTTTAGGAAAATGGTTAGTCCTGAAGCCGTTTAATCTTTGACAGCCAGTTTAAAATTATTTAAGGCGACATTAACTGATTGGATTACTGGTCTTCTCACAACAATGACACACTAGGAAATGCAGAAGAAAGCTTGCACTAACACTTGAAATTTTTAAAAATATATATTTTTTGTAACTAACTTTCCTTAAAAACAACAACATGTACTCAAGCCATTGATGTGTGCCAGTAACCTTAACTGGACATTAACAAAGTTTTTAGCGTTCGACACTATTTTATGCTAAAACTGAGAGCAAAATATTATTCTGTCTGGATTTTCAGTTGCCTGGTGAGTGAGATAAAAGGAGGGATCAAACAATCTGAAAAAGGATTTAAAAAGAGAAGAATGTTTATTTGCCTGTGGAGGTTATCTTAAAGCCAATATGTAATTCTGTCATCAACGTGTTGTTAACCTACAAACATTTTGCTTCTTTAACAGACTAATGCTGTTTTCCTCTGCTGAAGGAAATACAGGAATAAACAATATCAGAAATACATTACCTTTCAACAAGTCTCTGGAGGATTCAGATAGCACTTCTTTAGGGCTCTCCATTATATTAAACAGCCAGTCAATAAACTAAGATTAAAATGAATAGCAGTTGTAAATTAAAAGAATGTCCATATCAGAACATCACAAATTCTGTCGGACCAGACTGGCTTAAGACATGCACCCTACTTAAGTTTAGCTACAGTATATTCGGACTGAATGGCAAATCCACCCACGTTAGAATTTGCCCATCACTGCATTACAACAGTCCATTAGTATTTCATTTAACACAACAGTACAGGAATTATCTGAGTGATTATCAAAGTTATTTATTTCTGCAGTATGAAAATGAGGCAAGCCCTTACTGTTGACTATTTCTATGATGATACTCATCTTTGATCAGTGAATTCCCAAGACATCATTTATTTGGTTGCTGGTGAACCTTGTTTATTCCTAGCACGGACATATAATATTCAGTGTCTTACTATTAAATCTATAAAGTAGTAACTAAGGTGTGGTGTAGAGAAAAAAATCAAATAGAAAATGAGAGTCACTATGTTTATATTTTTTCCAAAAATCATTGTTAAGCTATTAGAAATTGTTATGGATGTAAAACAGATTTAGAACTAGATTGCAGCTTAGAGCCAGCTTTCATGTCAGAGGGCAAAAGTTACTGTCTGATGTTAGATTTTATAATTATTTTTCAAAGGCTATTTGTTTGCACACCTGCTACTTAAGTTTTTAATCATCAGGCTTGGGTAGGATGGGACAGACATTTGGGCAAAAAAGGAGCAGCGAGCCATTTGGCTGACTTGATATTTTGTTTGCAAGGCATGCTGACGTTGTGGTTTGTAATACACAAAATTGCTAAAGAAAACAGTTAATAAAGTTCTGAACTTTACTCACGCAAAACACCAACTAAAATAGTGGACATGCAAAATAATAAAACAAAACACTGCAGAACTAGGGTGGATTGAGAGGAGTTGGAGAATCATAGTAATAAGAGATGGAAAACACGTTTTAGGTCACTCAGTGTATCTCCCCGTCAATGCAGAATTGGTCACTTAGTAAGTATTCAAATATTTGGTCCGGTCTAATTTTAAATATTCCATGCAATGCAGTTTCCACCATTTCCCTTGGAAGAATATTCCACAGCTTAATATAGCCTAGTACAACTTACTGTCACAAGATCTTGCCTGACTGAATTTTGCCTTCTGGGGACATTTCCCTTCATCCCATTATCCCCAGTTATACTACTTTGTAGCATAGCAAGCACAGTAAATAATTCATCTCCATATTTGATGTTTACACCTTTAAATATCTGCACTCATCCTCCTTTATCAGTCTGTAAGGGTATGTCTACATTGCAAAAAGAGACCTCAGCAGTGAATTTCAGAGCCTTGGGGAACTGACTCAGTCTCATAAGGCTCACACTACATGGCTAAAAAGAAGCAGTGTAGATGTTCTCACTCGGGCCAGCGCCTGGTCTCTGTAACCTGGCAAAGGGAATGGATCTCAGAGACTGGGCTCCAGCCTGCGCAAGAACATCTACATTGCTATTTTTAGCCCCATAGTGCTAGCCCAGTTGAACCAGCTAGAGTCAGTTGAACCTGGCTCTGAGACTAACTTCTGTGGGTTTTTTGGGGTTTTTTTGCACAGACATACCCTTAGCCAGACTTCCCAAAGTCAATGCCTTCAGCACCCAGATCATTTTTAATCACTTTTTATTTTTATTTATTTATTTTACTTTCCTCCAATTTTTGTTGTCTTTCTGGTAATGTCTGTTGCCTAGAGGAGAATACAATATTTCCGATATATCTGGGTAGTTTATTTTTTCAAGGCACAGACTCAAATGCTTTACGAAAACCTAATCACAAATTTGCACATTAATGGCCTAGTTCTGCATTCTTCACATCCTCCAAACTCTCACTTCAGTGGGAGTTTTGCACATGCAAAGAAGGCAAGATCCAGTCCTTAATGCATACATGTTTGTTTAAAATAATTAAATGTCAATGTACAGAGGTCACCATTTATATACATTACAGGAAACTCAAGTCAGATTTCCCAAATTAGGCACATAGAATCTCACGCACACACTTGTGCATACCTAATTTAGGCTTGCAAGTAAATGATGTGCACAATAAACTGTGGGGGGAAGGGAGAGATCGTCCACTGGTGTAAATTACACTAGCAGAGGATCTCCCCCTAAGTGTTTGCATGCCGAACTAGCCATAGGCAGGAGTAAGTACGCACATGCATGCGCCCCTCCCCCCTAAGTAAACCTACTTAATGTTAAACAACCAACCCTTAAAGAACACTTATCAACTTGCATCTTAAGGGCATGTTTTAAGTAAGTCATATCTGACTGCACTAAAGAAAAATGAGAGCTCAAGTCAGATGCAGTAGATACAGAGGAAAGAACAGCAGCCTCACATAAGACCTGAGCTGACTCCATTGAAAACTGAGGGTGATCTGTCACCCTCAGAAAGTGCTTAACATCTTGCATGATCAGGCCTTTAGAAAGTAAATTATGTGCAGCTTTACCTTTTGCGTTTGTTCTTTCCAAGGCTCTTTAGCCAGCAAAACCTGCACACTGTTTGGAAGGAGAGTAAGTGTCTCCTGCACAGAGAGCTTTTCAATTGGATGCTCGCCAAAATCATCTGCAGACAATTCTGGCAATACTTCTTTGTGTTTCCATGACGACCAGCTGGCACTGAGGCCAAGTAGTAGTGGTGTAGCATGGTCAGCCCAGGCAACCACAGAAGCTGCAAATATCCACAACAGGAAGTCTACAGCCTAAACAGGAAACAGACAAGTTTGGTTCATTAGTTAAATAATAAAGAAGAAAAAAAGTGTTACGACATCTTATTCTCCAGGATAAATCCTAGGCAACTGAATACTCAAACTTTAAAAGAGAAAGACTAAAGGCAGTTTAATGGTCTGGCTTTTGTAATTTAAAGTAGTACAACAGTATTTAAAAACTACAATCCTTAAAGCAAGGGAAGCAAATGGAAACAATTCTGAACCAGTCTTCTTTAGCAATGGACTTCTTCATTTTTTTTTATCTACACTGGAAAATAATGCTTTATGGACAGGCATTTCAATAAATCTGGCATCCTGTTCCATGCAGCAACCAACAGCTGATGCTCAAGGACAGGGGTGGGCAAATTTTTTGGCCTGAGGGCCATATCTTGGTATGGAAATTGTATGGTGGGCCATGAATGCTCACGAAATTGGGGTTGGGGTGCAGGAGGGGGTAAGGGCTCTGGCTGGGGGTAAGGGCTCTGGGGTGGGGCCAGAAATGAGTTCAGGGTGTGGGAGTAGGCTCCGGGCTGGGGCAGTGGGTTGGGGTGCAGGAGGAGGTCAGGGGTACAGGCTCCAGGCAGTGCTTACCTGAAGCAGCGGCATGTCCCTTCTCCAGCTCCTATGCGGAGGTCCGGCAGGTGGCTCTGCGCCCTGCCCTGTCCGCAGACACTGCCCCTGCAGCTCCCAATAGCTGCAGTTCCCGGCCAATGGGAGTTGTGGGGTGGTGCTTGGGGCGGGGACAACACAGGGAGCCCCCTGGCTTCCCTGAACATAGG